AAGACCAACAACTCCGACGTTAAAGATACAACGCGAGTGTTGCCACACTATACAAGACCAATAACTCCAACATTAAAGACACAATGCGAGTATTGCCACGCTGTACAAGACCAACAACTCCGACGTTAAAGATACAACGCGAGTGTTGCCACACTATACAAGACCAATAACTCCAACATTAAAGACACAATGCGAGTATTGCCACACCGTACAAGACCAATAACTCCAACATTAAAGACACAATGCGAATGTTGCCACACCGTACAAGACCAATAACTCCAACATTAAAGACACAATGAGAGTATTGCCACGCTGTACAAGACCAACAACTCCGACGCTAAAGATACAACGCGAGTGTTGCCACACTATACAAGACCAATAACTCCAGCATTAAAAACACAATGCGAGTATTGCCACACCGTACAAGACCAATAACTCCAACATTAAAGACACAATGCGAATGTTGCCACACCGTACAAGACCAATAACTCCAACATTAAAGACACAATGCGAGTATTGCCACGCTGTACAAGACCAACAACTCCGACGCTAAAGATACAACGCGAGTGTTGCCACACTATACAAGACCAATAACGCTAATCCTGCTTGAGTTAAATTGAATGCTTTGTGACCATCAGCAGCCAAAACACCAACAATGAAAATGTGACTGTAAATTTTAACAGCTCTCGCCAGTAGAATAAGAACATCTCATCGTCACCCACTCCCGCCCGGCACGCTAACTTTTCTAGACGGAAACAGCTGAGATATACAGGGAGCCCATACTATCTCTCTTTAACCTGTCAAACGACTCCACTGTATTAATGCGTCACGCCAGACGCCAGTAGCATCACCTGCCTAGTTATAGTTTAGAACGTGAAAACTTAAAATATATTTGTACGGGAGGTGGCTCAGTACGAAATTTCCCAGAAGGAAATATGCTGTGTTAGTCGCATTGCAATGACTCGATAAAATCTGGAAAAAATTTATTCGTTATGTCTTTTATCAACATGCAGCGCGAATGTCCCCACCTAACGATAGTGTAGCTGTTTCCAAGGTCACGGAATAATGCCAGGACTGGGCCAAGCTGTACTCATCACCACACACCTGTATTGTCGAAAACGGCAGTTTAAATTAGATCAGTCATTTTATTTTCCTGTGAAGTAATTTTTTTCGATCTGCTTCTGTTCACTTAATGACGTATGCAAAAGGCAGGCGCTCTACAAGCCCTGTAATTTTAGCTTGGGTTTTGTTATAATTCCCAAAAGAGAAAAATCTCTTGTATAAGTTCCTTGTCTTCGCTGAAACAACCATGAAATATAATATATTTTTCATTACTAATAGCGAACCTTTTCTTAACCTTCAGTCTAAGTCCACTAAGGCTGAGTATTTCTAACTGATCTTGCCAGTAGACAATTTTGAACGTGCTGACTTCGTTCTATGAAGAAATGGGCTAATTCAAATAGACTTTTGTGCATATCTGTGTGTGTGAAAAAACAAAACAAAAACAATCTACAGCTTGCTACAGATCAGAGAATGATTTGAGCATACTTTTCTGTCGCCAGTCTGACGCGAGGCTAGCATCCTAAATGATTCGAGCCACGTTTGGTACATTCTGTGTTCTTGAAGGTTTCTCTGTGGAATCTGTCTTCAGGATTACCAGCGTGAGTTATTGGTTGTGACTACTTTACAAACTGCTAGAGGGAATGAGCAAACACAGAGGAGCCGCTCTGGTCTAACACTGCCGCTTATCGACTGACTGTACAGTCTATCTAATCTGTGAAGGGATCGATCCTCCTGTCCATTCATAAGCTGTGGTGCATAAATAACTTATCATTAGACAAACCACACAAGCTTTATTTCTGTTCTACAGCTCAAAAAGCGCCAGTTTCCATATCAATATATTCCTATAGATCACTAAGGACGGCTGCGAATAAACTGTATCTGAAGTGGAGATTGATCTTTATCATATTGGTAATACACATCAAGTTTGTCAGTCTACACAGAAGAGAACGTTAATTTCGTGATGGCGGTCGCTTTGTTACATTTCTTGTCGTTTTTAAGAATGCTTTATGCATGAACGAGGCGACTTTTAAAGCTGCCTTCAGTTATGAGCACTAGTTTGGGCTATGACTGTTTCACGGACACGTTCCAGGTATAATCTACTTAGGAACTCGGTTCCCCTGCCAACTAAGATAAGAGTTCGTGCACAGTGATTGATTAGATGGTGCGGTCTCGTAGGGAATAACGTTATTGGTCAATCGCACAAAGTTTCCAAAATCCTAGCAAAGTGAAACTGATATTTAGCCGTTTCTCATCAGCATGCTAAAACCTGTTTGGATTTTGTGTAAGATTTTCATCTCAGTTTTCACTTGTGGTAAGTGCTAAATCGTTTTGAGTCATAATCTCATTATTCTCGAGTATAGTTTATTTTAAGATAACCATATTCGTGTTTCGTTTTATAATACCTTTCATAACATGTTGTTTCATAATCAGTATACAATAAACCAATGCGGTTTTCCCCAATGTCTGACTTTTTTACAATTTCAATGTTTCTCTGATAAGACGCATCTTTTAGTTCAATATCATCAGCGTAAATAGAGTAAGAACACTGTTAGTTCTTGCTGAGAAATATAGATTGAAGTTATATTTTTTTATGCGTAAGAGTTAGTTCTAGAGTTCATTACATCTTAAAGTGACCAAGATTACAAAACTCGTGATCCTGACTTTAAAATAAGGTGTTTAGCCACGAGTCAACCACTGTAAACCGATTTTGTATGTAAGTTCTGCAGTCACAGGTGTAATATTCAAGTATACTTATTGCATTGAAAATAATACCACTACTGTGACACTCAAGCATGTGTAAACATATGCCTGTGTCATTTATATCTAGATACCATATCTTGAACTTCTTGATAAATCTTCATTTTCATTTTTAGAGAGAGTACGTGCCTATTTTTGCAGTAGGGAGTCATCATGACTCACAAAAAAAAAACTTAAATCATTTTAACGCCTATTTCGTTAAAATCAATATGATAATCGGTAGTTTTAAAGTGTCAACACGTGCTAAGTATTAGTCATTATATAAGAAAAAAAAACGACACCTGGAAAGCATTATATTTGATGTTGATAAATGTGGTCTAGGTATCAGCCACTATTCCACAAAAATCGCATTGTGCACTGAGAAATATGATCCTGATGTCAGTTAATCTTTCAGAACTTTTACATAATGTGCTAATCAGTACGTTCTTGGTATTACAAAGAGGTTTAAATAGATCATAAGAACTGATAAGCATATTCTAGGTGTTATTCGGTGCGTCAGTAATTTCACACTACTTGTTAATCAGTGCGTTTTCGATATCCGAGGATGTTTGAGATAGCTCTAAGACTAGTGTTTCTGACATAGATGTTTTAAAACTTTCCTCGTGTACAGTATTTTCTTTATAAAAGACAATAAGCAATATGTTTATAAGGTTTACATAGGATGTAAATTTTAAATATTACAAGGTACTCCCTATAAAAATAACACACAGGCTGATAAAAGGTATTTCACGTGTTACAGATGTGGTTTACCAGCGACATCATTATATATATATAGTATGTATCGATGAAGATACGCTAGAAATCTGTTATTAGTATTTTGAACTCTTTTTTTTTTTCTTCCAAGATAACGGATGAGTCAAATAATGTGTGTGTGTTATATAGCACTGTAATAACAATCAAGATCAATTGAAAAATTGTATCACATATGGGAAAATGTGTTAACTGTATCTGTGAATGATGTTTTTCACACAAGCTTCCCATAACAAGGCACACACAGAGTAACGTTATATCAGAACTGTATTTGAGGTGTAACATTCAATAAATACTGTACAATACGTTAGTAAAATCTAGGTAGGATCGCAGAACGATACATTAATAAGCAGGCACCAATTGTAAGGTATATGTTTGTAAACATTTTACTCTTAATCGTCCTTTGGTCCCAACATTATTATGCATCTCTACAAACTATTAGTTTTATTAAAAACAAATAAACAACTTGAATTATTGTATTTTCATGATAATTTCGTTTGCATGCCTAGAAGAATTAAACAACAAAGGGCAAAATATTGTATAAGATTAGTAAATGTCCCTTTCAAGCGCTGTTTTTCATAAAATACCTTAATGCACACGTAGAAAAGGCTCATTAAATTACAATAAAAGCTAGCAGCAAATTATGATAACGATTTCTGTTTTTTTGAAGCATTACGTTTGATGGTTATATGTATGTAAACAACATTATCAAAAAAATAAATGCCGTACGTTTATTAGCATAATACACCAGAGTGCTACTTGGAGAATGCCTATGATGGTCCAGTAGTCTGTTGTTAATAGCTTCTATGTAAATATACAGGCAATTACACGAAATGTTTTTTGCTTTTTTTAGAATACATTATTTAAATGAGGAAAGAAGAAATAGATTACTAAACTTGGGTAAAATGCCAAGCTTGTTCAAGAACGTGTAAGACAAGGTACTACTGGCTTCATGACTTGTAATTTCTATAGATATATTTTGGAACACAAAACTACACAATAGGCCATATGCACTGTGCCCGTTGCTGGTATTGATCCCCGATTTTTAGAATTAGAATCCCTCAAGCTTACCGCTGAGACACCGTGGGACTACTTATATAGAAGAAGGTTATTTAAAAAAACGTTCAGAATAAATAAATGCAATGATGTAAAACCAAATCGGTGTTATACACATTGTATATTTACAATAAAGTTGTTTTCGTCAATATATACTAAATAAAGTTTGTTTTTCACAGTAGCTGGTCTACAAATAGAATCAAAATACCAAGTGGATCTCATCGAAGGTCTGCGGGTTTTCAACACCACCTATCGTGGACTGACAGTTGCTGAAGGGTTTAACAAATTATCCCCTGCAATACGGCTTTCGGGTAAGATTATTTCAAAATGACCCATTGTAAGTAAAATGGAACCAAGAATCAATCAGAAACTCTTAAAAAACAATCTACCACTTTTGAAACCGGGTAAGGAAACGGTGTTCAAGTTTATTTGTTTGTTTTTTATTGGATTTCTTAATTCTATATAACAAATAAATGAGTATTTTTTTTCATCAATAAAGAGTAAAAGTTATCAGTATTGATTTTTTTTGCAAAGATTTATCACACTGTGAAGGGTCGATATCACTGCCAACAGAGCAGGGATTTTGTTCACCAGTAATATCAACGTTTCAAGGTCGGATTGGAAACTTACATATAGTTAGTTTTAATACAGTTACAGAGGGGTAGTTTTAACACTGAGTTTTTAATTGTTTCAGTAGAATCTGAAATGTATAGTTGATATTAAATAGCTATCGTTACACATAATAAAAAGTCTAGTTTCACGTTGCTTAGTTAACTTAAGAAAAGGCTTGTATTTCAGCATATTAATAGATAAGTTTTTGTTATCTTAATTGCAACTGTGAGAAAATTTAGTCTTGTTTAAAGAACAAATGCTGTATATTACATATTTTCACTATATTCAAGTTGGCAAAACTGCACATGTTTTGCTTTAGTTTCCGAAACAAATTGTTTGTTTGTTGTTACGCGCAAAGCTGTACAAAAAAACAACAACTAAAGTTATAAATAAATCGGATTTAATCTTAAATGGTAAGCAACTAGGTGTTTTGAATATACGTTAAAATTTTTCGGTTAGCCAACAAATTTTACAAAGAAGACATTATAACAGAAATTGAAAGTAGTTTTCACAAAAAATTAAAAATGTTGATAAACCTCGGATTATAAGAAGTGAATGTTGTAATTTAGTTAAGAATTTTAAATCTACAAATAATAACAAAACAGATATTGAAATTTTAAAGAACTTAATAGTTATTTGTAAAGCCGATAAGAGTGTGTCAAACTGTATTTATTAATAGAAAAGTTTATGATTTAAAAATTAAAGAGTTGCTTAAAGAAAGTCCGTAGGAAAACATAAGAATTAATCCAATAAACTCTAAGCAATGGTAAAAGCAAAAGTTAAAACTTTTATAACGTTAACACCTCGCAAAAATCAAGGTTTAATTCCAGGTAACCTTATATTGCTTATATTATATGCATTTTCTAAAGTCCATAAGACCAGGGACAGTTTTGGACCTACTGTGTATAATATTAAGAGTTCCTCGTACAATGCAGCAAAATTCATATCACAATAGTTCTCATTTTTAAGTGATAAAAATAAAAACACAGTTAAGAATTCGTTAGAATTTGTTGGAAGATTTAAACATGTAACACTAGATCAGAATGATATTTTAGTGTCTTTTTATGCTATTTCCTTGTTCACTAAAGTACCCGTGGAAAAACGTCATTGCATGTTTTGAGAATAAATTTAAAAGAAAATGATAATTCAACTTTAGAAATAATTTATATAATTAACCTTGTTGAAAGATGCGATAGAAATTATTTTTTCAAATTAAGAGAAAAGTTTATAAAAAAAAGGCTTAGCTATTGGTTCTTCTTTATCTCCTTTATTATGTGATTTATTCATGAACAATTAAGCGTTAAGAAAAGCGAAAAAGAAACCTGAAATCTGGTTAAGGTGCTACGTTTTTGATATGGCGGCATGGTAAAGAGAATTTAATTGATTTTGCTAATTACCTTAATAACATTGACAACTCTATTAAATTTACATAGGAAATTGAGAAAAATAGCTATTTACGTTTTAGTAAGTAAAAATAAGGGAAAATTGGAAACTACTATTTACTATTTACCGAAAACTATTCTCGGTAATCATGTCATATTAACTCTAAAAACATCACTACTTTTTTTCTGATGTAGATATAATTTTAAAATTATGTTGTAAACAGGAAAATATTAACAACGAGTTATTATTAATCAAGTATGTAGCAGTAGAAATATGCTTTAATCCTGATATTGTTGACAGAGCTGTCAATAAATTTAAAAACGGGAATAAAAAAGTATTACGTTTAAACCAATTGCTGAAAAAATTAAAAAAGAAAGGCATATATTACCATTTATACCTAGTCTGTCTTTTCAAATGATGCAAAATATAAAAAAAACATACCTTTACGATATGTAGACCAATGAACAAGATAAGCCAGATTCTTAGTTAACTAAAGATAAAAACTGATGTAATTGTAAAAACTGGTATATAAAAAATAACACGCGAATGTGGAAATATTTATGTGGGACAAACTAGGAGAACTTTAAATACAGAATAAAGACAAAAGAAATGATAGAAATAATAGTATTACAAAGATGTTGCCTTTAACTGAATATACTAATGAAACTAAACACATGATTCAATGTGAAAAAATATTTTAGTTACAACCTACAACCATCAATGGTAATAATATCCGTAAATCTGTTGAGATAATAAGGTGTAACAAACGTAATTTTAAAGTATTAAATAAAGATGAAGGACCAGAGAGAAATGTTGTTAATAGATGGCGTGAAATTCTTCAAGCTGAATTGTATGTAAATTTGATCATGTGATTTTTCTAAATTGTATATAGGTAGCTTTTTTCAAAATATAGCAATCTTGGTGATGAAGCAGTAAGACACCGAAACATGTAGAGAGTATGAAATAGTTTCCTATCTCACAGTGTTTTATTTTATCTTTATACATATTGTATTTTGAGACTGGGGACAGTCTCATTTTAAATTCATTCGACTTTATTTGTTTAATACATCTGTGTGAAAACTTACACAATGTCGTCCATATCTTAATAACTTAAGTTTGTTTGTATATTGAATTTCAAGCAAAGCTACTCGAGGACCATCTGTGCTAGCTGACCATAATTTTAAAATGATAAACTAGAGGGAAAGCAGCTAGTCAACATCAACCACCGCCAACTCTTGGACTACTGTTTTACCAACGAACAGTCACATTATAACGCCCCCTGAAAGAGCAAGCATTTTTGGTGGGATAGGGATTCGAACCCGCAACTTGCGAGTCAAGCGCCCTAACTACCTAGTTATGCCAGGCCAACTTTTCTGCCCTCTGTTCTCATAGTCCACTCCGACAACCCATAAATGATATAATAATAATCAGATGGATTTCTAACTTCTTAACAAACCGAACAGCAGTAATTATCAAAACCAATCAACATTTCAACGGGGGTTCCGCAAGTCTTAGTCTTTAACACACCCTTTCCTGACTTCGCATACACATGCTTTTCACAGTTTGCTGACGATATTGATTTTTGGAGCATATCGCGCAACCCACTAATAGCGGCCAATAGAGTTCAAAAATCACTAAGATGTACACAGATTTGGCATAAGTAAATAGACACCCAAGATTGAAAGAACACAATTTTATTCTGACGAGATATGTGTGTGTGTGTTAATACTTTGTGGTGCAGCCCATTCCTGACATGGTCTGTACTAGGGAGCCCCGGGTAAAGTGGCACGGTTTGGTGAAAATCGGTCGAAGATGGTTCACAAGTTTTTCGTGTTCGGTGATTGGCCAGTATTGTGATGAGCTGGCTCATAAAGTGTTCGTGTTCGGTGATTGGCCAGTGTTGTGATGAGCTGGCTCACAAAGTGTTCGTTTTCGGTGATTGGCCAGTGTTGAGATGAGCTGACTTTTCTCATTCTTTCCGTGAGTATATTTCTCAAGGTGTCTGTTTACTTAGAACAATTCTTTGTATCCGTTATTAGCATCAGTGTAAATATTCCAGATTGCTGGTAATGAGTCGCGAAGTTTTTACTATATTGTTTTCTTTATAATGAAAATTATTTCTAGAACCCTGTCTATGAACAATTAATAAATTTTAGATTTCTATTTGGTAAGAGGTGAACTTTATTTAAATACACTAGTTTCATGCAACTTGCAATTGAATCTAGTTGTCGAAGTTTCACTTGATTTTTTATTTTTATTTTTCACAAACTTGTTATAAAACTTTGGTTAATAAGAGAAAACAGAGCTTTGCCAACAAACGTACTCCTCATATAAAAACGTACACAGAATGTTAATTACACTTTACAAATACGATTTAAACACAAACTGATTCAATGTCTTGTGGCCGCAAGTGCGATTTGTGGTCCCAGAAGCGACATGTTTAGTCCTATATATTTGCTTCATACATAATTTTCGATCATTTGACAATGTAATGCCACCACGGATGCACTTATGGCTGAAGGAATATGTCACAGTCTTTATGAAACATACTCTTAATAAGCAACGTAGATTCAAAAGTTTGTTTGCTTGCTTGTTTTAGTTAAGCACAAAGTTATACAATTGGTTATCTGTGCTATGCTTTCCATGGGTATCGAAGCCCAGTTGTGCGTTATAAATTTCGCAGGTTTATCGCTATGTCATTGGGGGAGGGGAGGGCAGATCCAAAAGACTAAACACTTCGAAAAAAGAAAGCTTTCATTGTTCTCAAGTGAAACAGAGAAACAAATACAACAGAGTGTTTAGCACAGCAACGGCTCTGAAACCATACTCAAAATCAATCCACAATAAAGGTCTCACTGAAGGCTATAGTGTTACGAAAACTATCCTCCGACCTCTAAAGCTATTGCGATTAAAATGGACATATCTTCTGGTACCCCAAGCAAGATAACAAACAAGTATATGAAGCCAAAAATTCACAAACTTTCATCTACTCCTGGAAATCAATCATAGTACATAACATAATTGTCACACAACTTACGTCTCAAAGTTTGCCATAAAGTAAAGTTAGACAATATTTGTTATAATAACATATGGAGTGGATTGATGTAGAGTCAGACAGTATTTGTTATAATAACGTATAGAGTGAACTGGTGTAAAGTTAGACAGTATTTGTTATAATAACGTATAGAGTGAACTGGTGTAAAGTTAGACAATATTTGTTATAATAACGTATAGAGTGAACTGGTGTAAAGTTAGACAATATTTGTTATAATAACGTATAGAGTGATTTTGTAAAGTTAAACAGTATTTGCTGTAATAACATCTAAAGTGGATTGATGTAAAGTTAGACAGTATTTGTTATAATAACATCTAGAGTGGATTTATGTAAATTTAAACAGTATTTGATATGTAGAATGAATTGAGCAGCTTGTTCAAGTTCCTCAGCAATGGCTTTTATTAGCATGACTTCATTAAGTGACTTACAAGTGTTCATATGGTAAAAATTACAAGGAATAATAGATGATGTGTAAATAACGTAGTGTTAAATAATCCTTAATAATATATGATGTGTAAATAACGTAGTGTTAAATAATCCTTAAGTAATATGTGATGTGTAAATAACGTAGTGTTAAATAATCCTTAATAATATATGATGTGTAAATAACGTAGTGTTAAATAATCCTTAATAATATATGATGTGTAAATAACGTTGTGTTAAATAATCCTTAATAATATATGATGTGTAAATAACGTAGTGTTAAATAATCCTTAATAATATATGATGTGTAAATAACGTAGTGTTAAATAATCCTTAATAATATATGATGTGTAAATAACGTAGTGTTAAATAATCCTTAATAATATATGATGTGTAAATAACGTAGTGTTAAATAATTCTTAACGTAATTCTGATGTCTTGCGACAAAGGTAGAATTGATGAAAAATTACACATCACCAAGTTAATTCAACTCACATCGTTAGAGTTGTTGTCAAATAACTATCCTGTGTCTTCTTATTGACAGTACACAATATTGTTAAATCTGTCTTCTTATTGATAGTACATAGTGTTGTTAAATCTTGTGTCTTCTTATTGAAAGTAAACAGTATTGTTAAATCTTGTGTCTTCTTATTGACAGTACACAGTATCGTTAAATCTTGTGGCTTGTTATTGATAGTACACAGTATCGTTAAATCTTATGATTTGTTATTGATAGTACACAGTATTTTAAATAAAAACAACGTTATGGTGTTATAAGGTCGTTTATTTCTAATATTAATAAAAACCTTTGGGTGAAAGTAAAGAAGAGTTTATAATAAGATATCAACCATGCTATATCTACTATATGAAGTGCCAACGAGGCATTTCGCCTTATACCTGGGCTTTTCAGGCCATTTCGGATACGACAGGCAGAGTAGTAGTCGAGAAGAGATATAAATATATAAGGGTCTCAACGTTTCTCTTTACAGCTTCTTCATTTTGGTGTTATAAAGTCATTTATTTCAAGTATTAATATATCTTCTATATACCAATATGTACTACAGAAATTAAATAAAAAGTTTTTATTAATAATATAATATAATACGCTATTCTACTCTGCGTTCTTTTTTTAGGAGATTCGAGGCAGCTTGTTTTACCAGTAGAAGTGTACAGTAAAGCAGCCAATCTTCTGTATTATAGTAACGAATTTACGTTTGCAGTGACTTTAAGGCAAGAAGAAAGAAATACGGGCACAATTCTATCATTTTCTGAAGGGAATAACAGGTATGTTTTCTTCCAAATGTATATATATCTCATCGAATACAGAAAGTTACGAATAAAACAAACATCTGGAAATATGCTAAACAGTTATCACACTAAACAAGTCAAACTTTTCTAAATAAAAAAGATCCATAGAGTAAACCTTGTAAGGTTGAAAATGTGACAAATTTCAAGTTGACTTTTACAAATATATTGCTAGCTCGTTTTGGCTAACACCTGATAGCAAGGGCGCGATTTGGGACCAAAATGTCGATAGGGAGCAAAAAAATCTGACTTAAATATTGTGAATTTCGTGTGTATATACTATATATATTCCATAGAAAAAATAAAATTGGGGAGCAACTGCCTTCCCTTACTCCTCTCCCCCTTCACAATAATCCCCCTTATGCCTGGCGGACTTTGAATAACACTTTTCTCTTCTTTATTCAGTGATATAGTTCCTTATTCGGTATGATATACATTACTGTGCAACTGATATTAGTTTCAATCACATCCCTCTTTACTATCCCAGTGAGGTTTTGTAGTATGAAGTGTTTAGTAATATTTCAACTGCAGCTTATCTGTTGTGTACCGCTGTCAAATGGCCTTTCTTTCGCTACCAGAGTTAATCAGGTCCACCGGATTACAGTATATAAAGATTTCTGTTTCTGTGATCTACTCATATACCAAAATGAGGAAAGTGTAGTAGACGTATACAGACTGTAATAAACGTTTTTCGAATTTTCTGGGTTAAATGTTAATTAATCTGTTAACAACTTTGTCTAACAGAAGATCACAATAATTATTCCTTACGGTCCAAGAAATCCCTTGAAATTGATGATGGACAGTTTTGCTGACTCTATACGAGAATGTATGACAACCGTTCTTACTATGTTGGTAAATCATTTTGTACACGAGAGATATTTAAATCAAGCATGGTGTAACACATAAAAAGTACTTTATCATTGTTTCATTCGCGTTTTAAGCACTACAAACATTGCAAGACTGAAATTTGCAATATATTGCTCCTGCCTTTGTTGCTTAAGTCCAAAACGTTGCGTTTAAGTTTGATGCAAAAGAAGGAACTTGCTGATTATTAAGTGCAAACTTGGATTAAAGGAAGGAAGTTGTGACTCACTTGATGTAAATAGGATAAGGGAATTAGGTTGTGACTCACTGGATGTAAATTGTGGATAAAAGAAGAAGGTTGTGACTCATTGAATTCAAATAGAATAAGGGAAGTAGGTTGTCTCACTGGATGTAAATTTGGGATAAAAGAAGTAGGGTGTGTAACTCATTAAAGTACATTTGGCTTAAAAGAAGTAGATTTGTGACTCAGTAGATGTAAATAATGGATAAAAGAAGTAAGTTTGTAACTCACAGGACGTAAATTTGGGGCAAGTGAAGTAGATTGTGAATCATTGGCTATAATCTTAGTAAAAACGAAATCCTGAATTTATTAGTCATTAGTTAAAAGTTAGGACAATGGAACATGCTGTTATTCGTTAAATGAAAAGTTGGGATAAAGTGAATAGCTTGTAAGTAAATGAATGTGAAATTAAGATAAAGAAAAATAGGTCATGATTTATTAGATACAAAATTATGATATAGTAATTCGTTTGCTGAGTTTGGACAAGAGCAGTTAGATTTTAGACATTGAGTGAAGACTTGGGAGAATAATAATAATTTGTAAGTCATTGATATTAAAAGTGGGGCTAAGTTTGGACAAGGGCAGTTAGATTTTAAACATTAAGTGAAGGCTTGGGATAAGAATAATAATTTGTAAGTCATTGATATTAAAAGTGGGGCTAAGTGTGGACAAGGGCAGTTAGATTTTAAACATTGAGTGAAGGCTTGGGATATAAAGAATAATTTGTAAGTCTTTGATATCAAAAGCGCGATATAGAAAAGAAAAATACTTTAATTCGATTGAGATGAAAAATGAGCATCATTACCAACTGAGGTTGAAGGTTAACACACTTAGCTTATTGCTGGTAAGACACTTCAATACTTTAAATTGCAATTAGTGGATTGGTTTGAATTTCGCGCAAAGCTACACGAGGGCTATCTGGGCTAGCCGTCCCTAATTTAGTAGTGTAAGATTAGAGGGAAGGCAGCTAGTCATCACCACCCACCGCCAACTCTTGGGCTATTCTTTTACCAACGAATAGTGGGATTGACCGGAACATTATAACGCCCCCACGGCTGAAAGGGCGAGCATGTTTGGTGGGACGGGGATTCGAACC